GTCTGGGAGTTTCCCAATATAAGGAGATATGGAGGAACCTGTTTTCCAGCAAATTCACTCAGCTATGTGCTGCCATGGGGAGCCTGGGGCCCAACCCCGGGGACCAGGCAGAGTTCCAGACTACCTAATCAGATAATTCTGCCCTTGTGCTCCTGTTTTGTACATTCTTGGAGTGAGCCATTCAAACGACAGCACCTGCAGAGTCAGGGCTAGTGCCCTGTCAGGTAGAAATGTCAATTCTCGATTATTCCCCACTGCTTTGGACAGAAGACTGGGAGAATGACTAACTGGCATTCAACACAGCTTGCTTTTATTGAACGTCTCCTCCAAGGAGGTGTGTGGGATGTGACACTTGGGTCACCGCTGGGTTGGAGGGATGAAGGACAGTGTGGCTGAGAATCTCAATCCAATGAACATGTCTCCAGTGAGAGGCTGCTCTTGGGGATGGTGCCTTCAGGGGCGGGCTTCCTCCCTTGTCTGCCAGGCCCCATTGGTGCAGAATGCCTTCCCTCCTACAGCATGGCCTTTTACCAGACCTGCTTCCTCTCCCATCCCTCTCCAGTCCATTTTCCAAGGGCAGGCAGCTTGAGAACCTTCAGACCTCAAAGCCTCCTACCTTTCCGACTTGCACCTCCCATCCCAGGCCCTCATTCACTGGCTCATTTCCTTTTCCTGAGCATCCCAATTCCTTCCCATCTTGGTTGGGAATATAGAGGGAATGCCAAGGCCAGCTCATCCCAGTGCTAGCTTAAGTTTCTCTTTCTCAGGAGTCCATCTCTGGCCATCTTACCCAAAGTAGGCCAAACCACCACCCCCACCACCCAGCCATAGTTAATCCCATTACCCTATTTTAATTTCTTCATGGCTCTTGTCTCTCTAAGAAATTCTTCTTCATTGACTTCTTTGCCGCTTGCCTCCTCCTATCAACATATAAATGCCATAAGAGAAAGGACTTTGTCCACTGTGTTCTTGTCTTTATCTCTGGAAGACACTAAAACCATCAAAACTCAAGTATTTGCCAAATCTTAAAGAATGTGTTTGTCTCTACCTAAAACAAAGTGGTTGTGAACACAAGCTTAAAGTCAAGGGGACCTGTGAGATCATCCCACTTGCCACCTGGCCTCTCTGAACTTCACAGACTAACAGAATCAAGAGCTCACTGGTAGTTGTCATTACTAATCTAGAGTTGTGTCACCCTCAGGAGTCCAACACCCCTGATGGCAGGCATTTTGGAATTCACTTGTGACCACATGCCTTCAAACTTCCCCTAGGCACCCTCTACTTCCCCTTCTCTCGGGACATGTCATACTGTCCTAAGAAGTCTAGTTATTTATCTGTCTCCTCCACTACACAGAGCCTCATGGGGACATGAATACCTATAAAACCTAGCATGCTGCCTGTTGAATTTGTAGAATGAATGTGTGGTATATACGACAAGTAGGTACCTAGTACATCTTCAAGAAATATGTTTTGAATCAAGCTCTCTAAAAAAGACATTTTAAATACATGAGTTAAAGAATATACCAGGTGATATTTGATCAAGGGCTGAATTACATACAATCAAGTGATACAATGTGTAGGACAGAACTTGAATGGCCAACAGAGAGATCAGAGATAGCCAACACAGAGGTTCTCCAGGCCAGCCAAGGAACTAGGGTAGTTGAGGTGGGTAGGATGGGATGGGGGCCAGCTGGAGTACATCTCATCTCCAAGGCAACAGTTGCTTAGTTCTAGCTCCTTGTTGCCATCACAGAATGTGGGTCTGATAGGCTTACATAGTTACCTTTTTCAAGTAAAGTTGGAAATCTAACATTGAGACTTCCCAAGGCTCCAGATTGTTGACAGCTAATTTAACTTTAAATTCATTAAACGATTATTTGAGATGAGCAAAGAATGTTTGAGAGCACTTATATAACCTCTGACCGATCAAGAGCCCCAGGGGACTGGATGGAGGTTGGGCCCTAATCAGGAATTAATGGAAGAAGCTATGCAGGAGGCAGGTTATCAATATGGCCCAGTATACTGCTAAAGCCTTCATCAAGCACTTATTGAGCACTTATTACCTACCAAGCATTGGGATATAAAAATGACTCAGAACCCGATTCCTCTGAGACTTTCAATTCAAGAAATGCTGTTGAGCCATGATCACATAACCGGAACGCAGCTCCTCAAGACAAGGGGACAGGCACCTAGACAAGTAGGTTTCGTTTCCTCCTCATTAGATCTTTGTCCCAGAGTGCTGGAAGCAAACTGTCCTACCTCCCTGTCCTTCTGTGGTTTCTCCCATCCCCAGCCACCGTACCCAGTACCAGCTGGGGCAAAGTGGCCTACTGCTACTGACCCCCCACAAAGGTTTCTCAAGCTAACAGACATGGAATGACTCTCCATTCCCTCTGTAGGCCTAACCCCTCTCTGTAAAATGGGTACCTCCATGAGCTCACATGGTGGTGACACACAGCATTCAGGTAACAGCAGCACCTCAGAGCACGTGCCTGAGGCTGTTTAGAAAATATTTTAATTTCGTCTGCACAGCAGGCACACAGAAGTCTCTTTTTTGGCCTAACTTATACTGTGATCTTGGACTTGCTGAAGGACTAACTTCTATCACAGCCCTGCCAATATTGATTGTTCGGGCTCAAAAGCACATAAGTAGATTGATTTTTTTTTTTTCTCTCAAACTAAAAAGGATCGCAGTAGTGTTAGTATATTCCTGTTTCCACTGGTTGGTATGCACACTGAATAAATAATAGCGTTACCTGGAAAAATTTAGTTAAAAGAAACAGTGACGGAAAACAGGGTAGAAGAGGTCTTAAATTGCATTCTTAATTCCACTACAAATTAGTCTGGTGTTCCAGTGAATGCCTGGGCTCCTCTATTAACAACGCTCCACCCCCACTCCAATCTATTGTTTTTTAAAAGACAACACTATGGTAACCTGCCTTTTAGGTAAGGAACAAAACAAAGGGAAAAGCAAAACACACACAGGCAAATACAAAAAATGAAAAAGCAAAATCAGCTGGGTGGGAGCAAGTGTCCCCTTGTGGTGAGGTTAATAGGCAACACTCCTCTCCTGTCACTTCTTCTGTTAGTCAGCAAGGAAATACATCCACCAGAGGCCTCTGCAAATTTGTTCTTAATTTAAGGTCAATTAGACAATTCCTACATCCCCTATTCTCAAGAAAAACAATGAGAGCAAATGCTTCCTCTAACTACCAGATGACCTGGTAACTCTTGAAACAAGAGGTTATGAAATCTACTTTGTGCTAACTTCCAGGGACAAGTAATAAAATAGAGCGCAGGGCTTGGAAGCAAGCCAGCAACTAAGACTTGGTTCTGTTTTATACTGTTTCCTTTCTGTGAACTTTTTCCCCCGCCGGAAAGTTTCACAGCACTCATTCCAGAAACACCTCTAAACTGAAACGCTTCTCCAGCTGTCCCAGTAAAAAATTCTTTTCTGCGACCTTTGGTAAGAAATACATTCTAGGAAAGAAAAGAAAGGAGCGAACGTCTGTTTACTACCTAGTGACTATTCGTCTCTCTCCAGGTCTCGGGGGAAAAGAGGCGAAGGGGGAACAAAACAACGCCAAAACTCATTCCCTCTCTCATCTCTACACTGGCAGGGGGCGTATGCCTCCCAAAGTCTCTTTAAAGCCGTCAGCTCCGAAAAATACGAACTGAGCAAGCATCGAGGACCTCCCGGAGCAAGCCCTTGTTCTAAGAAGGCAAGCGGGATTCCCCTATGCGAGCACAGACCCGGGCGATCAGGATATCAGGAAGCCCGCCCTTGACTACTTACCAGCAGGATTTAAATCAGCTCCGACGCGGGGGCGTGGTTTGGGCGGAGCTCCGCGGACCTGGTGGGCGGGGCGGGGCGGGGGCGGGGATCCCGGAGGCTCTGCGCGGTGTGGGAAAGACCTGGGCTCCGGGAGCAAGCGTCTGTCTCTTTAAATGCCAGGGGCTGCCCTCCCGCCCGGAGAGCCTGGAGCCGGATCTACAATCCCGTCCCTCCCGCTCCGGCGCTTGTTGCTCGCCGGGTCCGAGCGGGAGCTGCCGCCGCCGGGCAGCAAGGCTGCTTCCTTCTCCGCCTTCTCGAGCCCCACCTCCCCCGAGAGCAGGTTGAGGGGGAGCAGCAGCCCCAGCAGGAGGGAGGGGTGCGGTGTAAACAGGCATTGCTCCCCACCTTCAAGTCTTGGAGCGCTACGTAGCCGCGGGGGCAAGACATGCTTCGCTCCCCCCTGCCCAGCCCTGTTGCCACCGGCGCCCGGAGAGAAGGGATTGCGGATCCCACACCTGCAAACTCACCGTAGAAGTCTCAAGGTGCGGCTGGGGGGAGGGAGCCAATTCCCCAAGGCCGCCACCTCTCTGCGGGTGAGTTTTCGCAGGTAACCCGAACCAAAGGGCGGGCGAGCGCGCGGGGGAGGGGCGGGCGAGACGGAAGGAGAAAGCGCCCCAGGTGAGCCAGGTAGGGCGGCTCACCTGCACCGGCCGAGCTGCGAGATCTCCGCCGGTTTCCCCTAGGATGGAGGCTTGTGAGCCGTCTCGGGGGCTGTTAGGACCCTGGGGTGAAAGGAAGGTTAAGAAAAGGGGGAGATTGGAGTAAAGTTTCTCTTCTTTCCCCCTCCTGCCTGGGCTTGGCAGGTAGGGCGCCGGCGGAAGCGGTAGGAGCTGCTGATGCAATGGGCGTTTGCCCGGGCGAGGTGAAGTGCTGGGGGTGGGGTAGAGCTAGGGTTGCCCTGCCTCCCGTGACCGTGACCCTAGAGGTGGAGAAATGAGGGAAGGCTCACCACATCCGAGCTTCCTTGTAAAATGGCTCCAGGTCCTCAGCTCCCAGCCCTTTCTCCTTTTATGAAATCCTTTTCATGGAGGGGCTCCTACATGGCTTCCTTGCTTTCCTCTCCCAACAGGTGGTCTCCGCCCCTGTCCGGGGACCCGTGCCAATGAACCTAGTGGTGGTTTCGCTTTCTCGCCTCTCGGCTGTGTGAACGTGTATCTGCTGCGTGATGGGTAACCAGGTGGAGAAACTGACCCACCTAAGTTATAAGGAAGTTCCCACGGCCGACCCCACCGGCGTGGACCGGGACGACGGGCCCCGCATCGGGGTCTCCTACATCTTCTCCAACGACGACGAGGACGTGGAGCCGCAGCCGCCGCCCCAGGGGCCGGATGGCGGCGGCGACGGCTTGCCCGACGGCGGGGACGGGCCACCACTGCCGCCACCGCAGCCCTACGACCCGCGACTGCACGAGGTGGAGTGTTCCGTGTTCTACCGCGACGAGTGCATCTACCAGAAGAGCTTCGCGCCGGGCTCCGCGGCGCTGAGCACCTACACGCCCGAGAACCTGCTCAACAAGTGCAGGCCTGGCGACCTGGTGGAGTTCGTGTCGCAGGCACAGTACCCGCACTGGGCTGTCTACGTGGGCAACTTCCAGGTGGTGCACTTGCACCGGCTGGAAGTGAGCAACAGCTTCCTGACGGACGCGAGCCAGGGCCGGCGCGGCCGCGTCGTGAACGACCTGTACCGCTACAAGCCTTTGAGCCCCGGCGCGGTGGTGCGCAACGCTCTGGCACACGTGGGCGCCAAGGAGCGCGAGCTGAGCTGGCGCAACTCGGAGAGCTTCGCCGCCTGGTGCCGCTACGGCAAGCGCGAGTTCAAGATTGGCGGCGAGCTGCGCATCGGCAAGCAGCCCTACCGGCTGCAGATCCAGCTCTCGGCGCAGCGCAGCCACACGCTAGAGTTCCAGAGCCTGGAGGACCTGATCATGGAGAAGCGGCGCAACGACCAGATCGGGCGCGCGGCGGTGCTGCAAGAGCTCGCCACGCACCTGCATCCGGCCGAGCCTGAAGAGGGCGACAGCGACGCGGCGCGGACTACCCCGCCTCCGGGGCGCCCCCCGGCGCCGGGACGGGAGGATGAGGCCCGGGAGGCGGCGGTGCACTGAGGGGCGAGCTGAGTGCGGAGTCTTGAGAGGGAGCCTTTCGGACCAGCCGCCGCTCCCCCTTGCCTCCTCTCACTCCCTCCTTCAGTACCTTCCAGGCCCCATCTGGGCTCCTGGGCCATTTGGAAAAAAGGAGAGTTGGCGAAATGTGCAGCCAGCTGTGGCTTGAGCTTGTTACCCTGGACAGAGGAATAAGAGGGAGCAGGTAGGAGCACTGGGGCCGGGGTGGGAGGGCACTTCTTGCCTGTCCTCTGGATCTGTCTTCCTTTCTGACGTGGGCCAAATGGTGGACTTGCCTGACACTTAATTTTTGCAGTACCTGGGTCCAAAATCGACCCTTCTTGGGCTCTCGGGGGTGGAGGAAAGTTCAGAGTACCAGTGCCCGCCATTGCCTCCTCCCTGCTTCTTCTCCTCCCCTGGGCTTGGAGGGGGCTCTGTACTGAGGCCTGGGAGGGTTTGTGGCTGCGCCCTGCCAAGCACCGACAGCCGCAGATCTGCTACCTCCACCCCCCAGGGGTGTGTGTGGGATGTGGGAGGCCCGGGTGATTTTACTGTGGGGGATTGCTGGGGTGTAAGACTGGAGAGATCAGGCCCGGGTCTGGGAGCAGCAGACCACAACCCAGCAGCCCCCTGTGAGGTGTAATAAATAGTTGGGTAAACTTGGGCTACAAAACAAAGACTTTGCTACCTCCCCCTCGCCCCCCACCCCCAGGTAATTCATCTTCTGGAGCTGACTTCTGGCGGAGTCTCCTGCTCCCTCCTGTTCCAGCCACCACTTCCCAGGTTTCAAGTAAATCATTGTCATGGGCCTGCTAGGGGAAGGATTCAATTATGATTCTGTTTTGCCGCCTTTGTTTCTGGCCTGCTTTGGTGTAGGCACTTGGATCCCCGTTGTTATCAAAGGAGGGACTGGCCCTTTGTGTCTCTGATCTAATTAAACCTGCTGAGCTGTGTTCATCCGCAGGTCACACGGGGCTGGCTCCTGCCACCCCATAAAGTATTCACTGCAGAAGCAGCCAGATGGAATTGCCCTGGCAGAAATTAGTTAATTTCTCACCCATCACCTAATCCCCTTCCTGAACAGTGAAGGAAACCTTTTGTAAACTATAGGGCCTGTAATTTTCTTTTCTTTTCTTTCTCTTTTTTTTCTTTTTTTTTTTTTTTTTTTTGGCCTCCTCTCGGTCCCATCCCCCTCACTCACTTTTTTTCTGCAGGTGATAAAATCTTAGGCTTGAAGTCTATTCAGTGATAAGGTGTTTGTTTTGCTAGCCACACCTCATGCAATTTAAATCCAGACACTAAGTCTTGTTACACTGCAGCAGTCTCTTTGTTTCTTGGAGAACACCCCCGCCCCCACCTTCAGAGTGATTTTGCAATTAAGAGGGGTAACAGCCATCACAAATTAAATGCCACCTGGTAGAGTCAGCGCCGAATCTGGTGACAGTCCTGAGGCACAGGTTGGTGGTTGTGAGATCTGACGCAGCAGGCTGGCCTGTACTCTTTGGGTCTGCCGCTGATCTTGCTTCCTGTACTGTGGGGCTTCTAGAAATTTTTACAGCCCATCTCTTGTCTTCAGGCGAGCACTTGGTTGATGTGTGTCCTTGATTTCACAGTGCTGCTTTGCTGCAGATTGACATTGCTAATTCCGTCCCAAAAGTTGCGTGAAGTTTTCCTTTCTTTTGGGAGTCATTTTAGATGACACTGAGCAAGTCCTTTTTTGAAGAAATTCTTAAAGTTGGAATGGAATCCTATTTTGAGTTGTCCTCAAAATATTGCTGTGGACATCCTTGGGCCTTTTCCGTGGGGATTTCTAACTCATGCAACAAGACTTGAAGGATTTCCTTGTATACTTTTTTCAAACTTGGAAGTTGATGCCATAATTTTTAAAAGCCTAGACCGTCATAGCACCTCAGTAGGAAATAATTTCATTTTAGGGGCATTAGCTATGTTCCCTGTTCTCACAAGTATCACCAAGCAGGTCCTGTCCCTTTGCTAAAGATGAACCACACTCAGCCCTAGTCTGGGACTTTGGAGAGATGTCTGTCACCTGTGCGAAATGTAGATGTAGTTTTCATGTGTAATAAGCTCTCAGCTTCATGTTTATATTCTCTTATTCATGGAAAAGCCAATCAAGGTAAAAGACATTGAGGAGAGCCTCAGATATCCAACAGATTTGGGTTTTATTTTGTTTTGTTTTGTTCGCTTAACATGGTAGTTGAAAGACCAGTGTGCAGACAGCGAGAGAGGAGAAGAATGACGGTCCAGCAGTTCTGGGCTGGCTAGCCAGCTTAGCTCTCCACCTCCCTATCTCTGGTGCCTCCTTTGCCCTCAATTAAAAAGTGAATGTCCTTGGTCACACGGAGATACCCCAGTGACTGTCTTGTTACAAAGGAACTGCTCCTTGTGGGAAGTCTCCACTTGAAGGAAGAACTCTTAATCCACACCAATAGTAGTATTCTGCCTCTAGAGAAGAGGTTTCTGAAAATGAACTAGAAGAGGAAATCCTCCCACTCCAGAGACTGCTTTCCCAATTCATGCAAGTATTTTTACTGGCTACCGGAGGTGTGAAGTATTTAATACGAAGAATGATTCCATTGGAAGTTGTCTTTAGGGCTCTCTGAGGCTCTAAGGTGAATCGACAGCCCAACAACGGAGGTTTCAAGAAAGGGGAAGCCGTCAGTGCAGCTCTTTCCTCAAGGTGGCAGTGTTGCGGATAAGTGAGTTTTCAATGTCCAGGCTAAGGCTACATCTGGCACTTTAAAAAAATATATATATATATTTAATAATTTTTGTTTCTCCTTGGGAATAAGACTTTAGAACTATTTTGTACTGTGAATTATGTATGTTCTTTGAAAGAAAAATTGATTCTAACGTTCTTCAGAAGCTGTGGCAGGGATAAGCAAGACCCCGGACTGGAACACCTACTAAACGTAATGAAACAAATTCTATTTTCTTACTTGAGCAAATATTTTATTGAGACTGCTTATGTATGTCAAAGGAGCCCACAACATCAGCTACACAACTTTTTGTATCGAAAGAACTCGTACTTTTTGTAGCTTTTATTCCACATGTAATTTAAAATGACTTTAGCACTAAAATGCCTATAGAAGAAGACTTGACACCAGACCTTTAAGGAAATTTTTAGTTTTTATGAAAAATGACACTTCAGTGGTTAACCTTCTCGTGTCTTTGGTGCTTCTGGCCCTAAGAGCAGCACTAGACAACACGACAACCACGTGGAAACATATTTTTGAAAGCAAAACTTTAATTTTATACGACATATGCTACAGAGAGTAAAGAAAAATTAATGACTAACCATTTTCTATTTTTTTTTTTCTTAACAAAATGGAATCCACTGTGTTGAAGACTCTTGATATTAACGTGATTGTCTAACCATTTTTTAAAAATAAATTAGAATAAAATCTATAATCACGGTCTTCAAATGGTTTTGTTTGGGAAGTTACATTTGTGAATTTTTTTTTTTTTAAATCATGGTAACTATAAACTTGACTGGATCATTCAGATGTTCACTATGTTTTGTTCTTAGCTGTAATTTTTGTGACCCATGGAGAATTACATTGACTAACATGGTAAATTCTATGTATATTTTATTTTCTAGTGAATTGTGTAAACTGTATTTTTGTTGAAGAATGTATGTTAAATCAATGTTACATTCTCATACCACTTCTTGAGAAGGAGGTTCTGATTTGAAATTGTATCATTTCCTTCAAAATGAAGGGCAGTGTTTAGTTAAATAAAAGATTGATGACATCTTTTCAACCAGTTCCTCTTCACTGTCTTATTAAAATAAAATCTGTCAAGTCTTCTAACGTTCTAAGGGTTTCCAATAAACCATCTCTTAGTGTTAACTGAATTTATATTTTTTTCCACTTGTATACCTCTTTCTGCCATATGTGGTTCAACAATTTCTGAGAATATTAGTGGGTCGTCTCATCTTTACATTGCTCAGTAAACATTTTGAAGAATTCATATAGTGACAAAGCCCTCCCTGCATTTGCTCTGTAAGAATTAATCACCCATTGCTCCTAGGCTCTCAATGTTCACGAAAAATGTCTCATAAACATAAATTTTCGGTACACATTGATTTTCAGAAGCAATGCAAACATTGCTGATCGCCACACTCCCATGTTGGGAGTCTACGCTGGAACGTTTTGTTACTAAGATCTTGCATCTTGGGTGATTTCAGTTTCAGACAAAGGGAATGTACTCACTGGGTAATTGAATTACAGAAACAGACAAACGTGACCACATGGCACTGTTGGCATAGCAAGGGAGGCAGGTGCCAGCAGTGGGTAGAGGAGCAGATGTGGCATCTGGGACTGGTGTGGGAGGCCACCAGCACTCCTTTGGCCAGCTCCTGAAGCCACTGCCCTAGTCGTGTGAGGGTCAAAAGCCCAGGCTCTGTCAACAGGCTCTTACAGACTTTTAGGTAGGAAAAACCGGGAATGCTGAAGGTGTTTGGGAACTCAGCAACAGGGAGGCCATTTATCCCTAGAATGGGAGTCCTTAATTTATCATGGTTGTCCTTGCACAAGAAAGTAAAGGGAGGGGAGACTTATACAGAATGTGCTTTTATTCTTGGGTGATCTTGGTGTAGGCTTCTGTTCCAATTTTTTCTAAGTGGACCAAGCTGATGTAAGAAAATGACATGTTCAGAAGCGTTTAAAAGGACTTCCAAAATGAACAGTCCCAGAATACATGCAGAAGGGCTTTTATTTCCTTTTACTGAATTAACTGGGGAAACTGCTTATTGAACAAATATAGCCATTTTATCTGCAGAGTAGATGGAAGAATGATTGGTGTGCATTTGCAATCACAAGATACTACTAGGTATTTATGAAGAGTCTGGGGACGCTGAACTCTAGCCCAAGTACTAGAACATACAGAGATTACAAGCAAACACAGCAATGGTTTTAGGATGGAACAGGGGGGAGCAAGTGAGTGACCTTGTCCTGCCCTCTCCCAGAACTCCATTGCCAACC